GGCTTTTCTCACGACAGCCCACCCTGTGTCCCTCCAGCGTATGTGTTCTCTTGCTTTGTCCTCTTTTACTTAGCCCAGGCTCGCTCTGCAGAGCCAGTTTCTTACTCACTCTTCACTTTTACTTTTTCAAATAAACTTTGTAATACAAAACAAAACAGCCTTTAACACAAAGATTACAGCTAAGAACTTCCACCTGGTAAGAAATTAAAATCACCTGGTAGAAAACTAGTTTTTAAAACCATTAACAACAAACATAAAGCTGTTCTGTACCAAAGATAAATGAAGTTTTACCCTACCTTAACCACATTTAAAATATTGCTCTCAGGAAGGGTTGAAAAAACTGGTTTAGAAGGTGAATCTTCACTTCCTCTCCCCCGCAGTGTCATCTGTGTTTCAGAACTGTTGAGAAGTAAATAAAGAATTGAAATTAGGCACAACACAATTACTCACTTTAAGAAATAATGAATAACTATTTCTGAGGGGGATCTGTGGAGGGAGTGAGGAGGCTGCTAGAGATGGGACCCAGCGCCTCAAAGCACTGGGCTCTTCCACTGAGCTGCAGCTCAAGCCTTCACCTTTTTTTTTTTTTAAATGAAAGCTATATTGTTCAGGCTGGCCTTGAAATTTAAATGTTCCCGCCTCAGCTTCTTGACTAGCTGGGATTAGGGGACTATATCACCATGTCCAGCTTAATAAATACTTTTTAAAAACTTTTATTGAGGAATAATTTACGTATGATAAAAGGAATGTACCCATTTTAAATACTGATAAACATCCACATTAATGTATCAATTACTCAAATCATGAAACAGTATTTCCATCATCTCCTGAAGTTCTTTTAAGCCAATCTGCTACTACCCTAGAGGCAGACACTCCTCTGCCTTCTGCCTCTGTGTACTCCTTTTCCTTTGCAGCAGCTCCTCCTTGTAAGATACTGTTTGTTCTCAGTGTTCTTCAGGTTAGAAAGCTGCACAGAAAGTGGCTGATGACAGCTCCTGATAGTTAAAAGACCACGGCAACATAAGCAATTCTAAGTAACCCAACTGTAGTTCAGGTTGTCAGTAAAGCTTCATGGAAGAAAAGATGCATGGACTTAGCTTTCAAAAAAAAAGTTATAAATTAAAAGAAAATTTATAGGGACGAAAGAAACCAAAACATATCGAGGCACCCGCCTGCTTCCCCACACTAACTACAGTGCGTACCTTCCTTGTTTACCAAGCTGCCTGTCTAACAACTGTTCAGGCTTATGACCTAGGTGCAGTGTTCAGATTAGAACCCATTTTTTTCTGGGTTTAGTTCTGTATACCTTCTGTTGTTTACAGAGCCTCAATGTCTTTTTTTGGTACAGTACATCTTATCTATACAATACTTAAGTTTTATGTTGTTACACATTACAGTACTGTAAAAGTTATGCAAATAAAAGCAAAGCCATCAAGTTGGAGTTGCTCTGACCATTTCTTTGTTCTGAATATTGGAATATACATATTACATACAATTCCTCATTTATAGGCCAATCACTGACCTAAGTGGCAGGAACGTACCGAGGTTGGTAAATGAGGAATCTCTGTATAAAACACAATTTGGCTTTTGACCAGCACCCAATTTCTGAGCAACAGGGGTGTTATTCACATAACACTCCTCCAGCCTTACTGAGTCTGTGCTGAGTGACTCCTGAAGGATGGAATCTAGCTGTAGAGTGAATGACTTGCAATTGGAAGGCAGTCCCACCTGGAGGGGCCAGAGATCAAGTTAAGCACCACACCAATGCTTTCATCAGTCACCCTTGTGTGATGGAGCCTCCAGGAGGGCACGAGCACTTGGACGGCTTCTGGACTAGGGAACACACGAGGAGGAGGAGGGTGGGACCTGAGAGGATGCCGAAGCTGCTGGGCATGCCCATCTCCAAACTTTGTCCTAAGCTCTTTCCCATCTGGCTGTTCCTTGTGCTATGTCCTTTACAGTGAACTGGTAACTATAAATAATGTGCTTTCTCAAGTTCTGTGAACATTCTAAGAAATTATTAAACCTTAGGGACGGTGGGACCTCCTAACTTATGCTTGTGGTCACAAGGAAGGGAGCTCCGCGTCTGTGCCTGGCACAGGACATGGGGCAGTCTGGTGAGATGCAACCTTCACCCGTGGGGCCTGCACTAACCCTGTAGTCTCAGACTCTAATCAAGTCATAGGACATCTAGTTGGGGTCAACACAGAGAACTAGAGAACTGTAACATGTGGAAAGCCTACAGTTTGGTGTCAGAAATATGAGTGTAGAGAAAATACTTTTTAAAAATCATTTACCATACCCTCTCTGGTCCAGTTTTTTTTAGACAGGGTCTTGCTATGTGGCCTAGGCTGACTTTGAACTCAGCAATCTTCCTGCCTCAGCCTTTTCAGTGCTGAGATAGCAGGTGTACACCACCATACCTGGCCTTCTTGTCCATTTTAAAAAAAGGCAGCATACTATTCTGCACGGTACTTTTTTCACTTAGCAATATGCCTTGAAGAAACTCTGTGGCC